CATTTTAAGATGGACAGGATTGATCTAAGCTGTCCAGGTTTCTTAAGGGTGATTCTCAAAAAGCAGGGACATCTAGATAGAATAAATTCATTGACTCAGCTCACTCAGAATTCTCCACAGAGTTTCAGCCCACGGAGTCTGAGTCTCGTATCTTGTTGGTCTGATCTGTTTGGCACTGGATATGGACTGAACTGACTATACTTATGATAAATCTAACTTATCTCACTCTGTATGACTTTGCAGGCTCGTTTGTTTCTATTTGAGCCTACGGTTGGCACAACCCCATTCCCTTCATTTCCTCTGTGCTACAGTCTGGAACTAATTGAAGGTCTTATCTTTAAGGTCCAATCCTGTATCGTTATGTTGAGTATTAATCTTCGCCCTCTTTTTATCTCACACCTATCTCCTCAGTCTCCTTTATTACATATTCACTGCCTCAGTAGGTGTGACTGTGCCCATCTCCTTTCTCAGATCCTCACCAACTCCTCAAACACACAAACCAAGCACCCCCTCCTTCTGTGTAACTTCCTCAACTAACTAAACAGTAGACTCCATCATTACAGTCTTTGCAACCTGCCTTCTATACTAATACCGCCTCTACCTTGCCTCAGTCCATTGCTTCTCTCCCCTGTAAATCATACCTATTGTTCCTGGAAAGTGTCCTTTCTCTATTATCCATCTGTCTGCTCCTCAATCTCATCCTATTTCTCTAAGCTCTGCCGCTCACTCCCCATTCACACTCTCCCAGAAGGTAAAATTATAAGCCTCTTCCTCTGCATCCTATTAAAGCCCATTATTGTTATGGACAATATTCATCTCTTCCTCCTCCCTCTCCAATTCTCAGATGTAATCTGAGCTGCCCAGTGAGTCTATATCACTCTTAAGGACTATGTCTTATTCTTCTCTGTATTTCATGATACCCAAGAGAGGAATATACACATTTTACATGCTCAATAACATTCATTAAATTAATGACAAATTATCATTAAACAAAAAAACAGTTGGCATTCTCAGAAAATCATTGTTCCCACCTCTGTTTGCAGAAATTATAAAGAAATACACTGGCCTGCAAAAAAAATACCTTCAAGACCTTTCCAAATTCCCCACTGCCTCCTGTAAGATATGTCTGACAGCTAAAAGTAAACTAGTCTTTGCAAGCACTAAATTGCTCATCAGTCTTACAAAAGATGTCATTTTGTCAATTACCTACCCTAAGGAAATATAAATGGAACATAGCTACTTGAGAAAAATTAATTCACCCAACTCCAGTATGTAGCTCACAGAGAACAGCTTTCACCACCCTAGGATATGTGAACCATATTTCATTCCTGTTTTTTCTCCTTTTTTTGGGCAGTGGGGGATTTGATTTAGGTCTATAAGGAGTCAAAGCCCAATATTAAGCAGGTATAGCATCATCCAAAATTTTGATTATGCGAGAACTAAAACATAATACCTTTACTTGTATCTGAAAATATGAATGTTACCTTCATATCCTAGCAAACTCCCCTAACCTCACATAAAGGCACAGATGGCAGAAGATGAAGAGGGAAATGCTCAGCATGAGAACGTAAAGCAAGCTCAGCGACCAGCAACAGCTGGCAGGGGGTCCAAAGCCAAGCAGGTAGTTTGAACAATTAAGCAAATTGTATTTAAAAAAAAAAAAAAAAAGTAGAGTAAGGAGGATGATAAAAGGCAGCTTTTTTAAAGGTCAGTGTGCCTACTATCCCAAAGAGGAAATCACTGCCATGCAAGAATGTGAGATCAGTGTGGCCACATGTTCAGATTGTTCAGAAGATGGCAGAACCTCAGATTTTTTTTTTTTTTTTACATAAAATCACCCCAATGTTGGCAAGTTATTCAAATTAGAAAAGCAAACAAACAACAGCAAAAAAACACCCTGTTCTAGTCAAGTACAATATGATAGGCTACTAATTTGTTATCTTTGGAACACAGGCTAAGGTTGGTGGAGTATAAAAAATATTATAAAAATATATTCCTAAAACTAAGTCACCACTTCACACCCACTTTTAGTAACTGGATTTTTGAGTTAATTCTCTGTATCTGAGTACTTATATTAATGATCATAACAGGTAGATTAAAAGCCTAGATGGAAAAAAAAAAAAAAACTAGAAGAAAATATAAATGAATATGTAGCAAATCTTTGGTTTGAAGGTGACTCTAATCATAATAATTAAAGAAAGCACAGAAGAATTTTTTAAATCTATAATTTATCAAAAATTGAAATATTTAGTATGAAAAATACCTTGTACCAAAATTAAATACAAAATATGTAAAATATTTGATGCCAATATAGCAAAGGGCTAATTATCTTTACTATTTAAGAAATCTCACAAATTGGTAAGAAACACAAGAAGAATGAATTACAACTCTTTACAGACAAGGATGGTTTGCTGCTGACAGTTCCTAACCCAGTTCAGAGTAGTGTGCTCTGTGAGATTGGGACTGACATCTGCAAAACCACACATGGAATTATGAAGGGGAAAAATGCACAATAAGATGAGCCCTCAAAAAAAAAAAAAAACTTAAAAAGCACCAGACAAAAAACTAAGTGCCACAAAAGACCCAACAAATAAAGAATATATACCCCAGGAACTAGATGTTTTAACAATGTGAAAAGAATGTTAAAAAATTAATTATATTTAAATCTTCCAAGAGATAAATGAAGGAATAGCATCTGTGAAGCAAAGAACAGAACAGGTAAAACTATGAAAAAGAATCAATTGAAAATCTTGGAAATGAAGTATATAGTCACTGCTACTAAAAAGACTCAAGATGCCCTACATGATATAGAGACAGCTGAAAAGAAAATGGATGATTTGGAACCAGCATTCTCCAAGAATGCACCATTAGTAAATTAAGAGATAGGAAATATGAAAATCTAATAAATTCTATCCCCACAAAAATTCACATATGTGCCTATATATATAGTTTCATAAACAATTTCAAGAGGTTCCCAGAGTTCTTGAAATCCAACTTCTACCTTAGAATTCTGAATACAAAATATCTTTCCTACTCTGTTAACACATATAGTAAAATTAGTAAAATATTGGTTCAAGGTTGAGGAAATAGACATTAAATTTGAGTTAGGATCAAGTAAAACAGAAGCCAAACCAATGTAAACCAAGTAAATCTCATCAGAAAATGAAACTCACAGAAAAAGTATTCTGAATTCTGCTACACATTCTATTATAAAATTCAGGTAAGATCAAGAAAATCAATAATTATCCACAGTAAATAAAAGAACTCTAGTGTGTATTAAACTTGGATAATTTTAACATAATTATCATTTTAGACACAGATATTATTTTAAAGTTCACACTGACCGCAAAACGAGACAGAAAAAACAGTACTGCAATGGGCAAAAATCATTTTTTTTAAATAATGTTAAATGACAGATATGGAGAGACAAGATTGGTAGAGTTTGAAAGAAGCTAAATTGCTCTGAATTAGAAAAGGGTGAGAGATAAAGAAGCCTAAGGAAAAAAAATCTAAAAAAATTGCCTAGAATATGGGGGATTTTAGAGACTTGCTGTCAAAGAGGAATAAAAGAGAAAATTCAGTGGCTAGAATATAGTGATTAGGAGTGAGGTGAACAGAGATGTCTAAGGGCAGAGAGGTGAGGCACGCTCTAAGCTCCATAATGTAGTCCCACAATACCTTCAGTAAAATCTACATATTGCTTTTTTTAATTTTTATTTTTAAATGAGAATGAGAGTAGGAGATGCAACGAAGGACTTAGCTGGCCTAAAGTAATTACAGATAAGGTATGGAAAGCTAGCAAAAATTTCTATTACAGAGGATTTCCATTTGCCTTGTACAATAAACCTAAACTGAAATGTTTGGTCCTCATCAAAACTCCAATGGAAGAAAACTCTAAAAAGATGAGAGATTCTGAAAACATGAAAATCTTCCTTAAAATAGATTTGAAATGCTTTAGAACATTAAATTCAAATGACATACTGAATATTTTCTATTTAAAGTAGCTAAGCTCATTGAAGGTAAAATGATGACTTCTCTGAAGATCGCTAGTGAGAATGTGGAAAAAAATGGTGTCTCTTGAACATTTTTAAAAGTGCTTTAATAAACTTCAGTATTAAGATTCTCTTAGGACATATATTTCCACAGGTTTTCTTCAAGCCGAAGTATAGAGAAATTATCTTGTTTGAAGACCTTGACATATTTAGAATCATGTATTTATCTTCTTTGAGTAGTTTCATGTTACTTCAAAGTATACAAATCAGGTTGCCTTGCAGTTCACAATTTTATAAGAACAGTGCCTGGTTTGAAATAGTAAATTTGAATCACAACAGATCAGGCTTCTTTGAAATACACTCATGTTGCAAACGATGAGGAATAGCCCTGTTCTGGTTTTTTAAAAAATCTTCATTTGGGGTACACGCTTTCCACTTGGAAACATAATTGTGTACGTCTCTCATCACACGCCATCTCCCTGGTAAGATGCTAGAAGCATTTACATATGAATCTTGTTTCCCCATGGGAGGAAATGTTCCCCCTAGGGAAGAAACCGAAGGTGAAGTTTTCAGTCCTTGCAGACCACCTACGAAGGCTTTTTCTTTTCAGATGAAACTTTCTGTTTGGAACATTCTATTCCTAATTAAAAGTAGCCACCGTGACAATGCCTTGCGTGGAATGGTGTGGTCATGTAAGCCTTCGATGGAGAAAATGCTTCCTTCACATTCATGGTATTAAACAAATGCATTTTAAATAAACATGTCAAGACTTTATTATAATTATATTTAAGGCACAAAAGTAGAAAAACTATACATACTAAAATCTCAACTGATAAATGTGAATACCAAGTATGTTCTACAAAATTTTCAATGTATTATTCTCAAAACATAGTATTTAAGAAAATAAATCATTGAGTAAAACATATTCAATTAGTCCTAAATGTTTCCAAAATAAAATAAGACTAAAGGCATCAAAATAAAGATAAGTAATTTTTAAAAGGCACTCACCAATTATAATTGAAGACTCACAGTGATAATAACCATTATTTTGCTTTTTCTTCAGCATGGAGCAAAGATCAACACGATGTACCATTTCTTCTCCAAATCTATGACTGATAAATTTTTCATATAATTTCAGGTCTATTTTTTTCACTCCCTTGAAATGACAAAACAAAATCATATCAATCAATCATTTCATGCAGGCAGCCAATTCATATTTATATCATTATCTTAGAATCTGATACTATATTTTGGTATACAGTACTGCCTACAGCTATTTGAAAAATGGATAGCACAAAACTGTTGTAAGCTATTTAGGATGAGTTGTATAAAAAAATAATAATTAAAGAGTGTTCAGTTTAAATATGGCAAAATTTAAAACCTTAAGCTTCAGAAATAATAAAGTATATCAAGTTGAAATCTGAGATATCAAGGAAAGAGTAATAATCAACAACAATGGAGAAATGTGTGACTTTGGAAAAAGTGATATGGATCTTTTGATATGCATAATGTTTTAATAAGATAGATATAATTTTTAAACTCCTTATATAAGAATCATCTGAAAGACAGAGGTTATTTGAGTTGGAGTAGGGGGCTAGTAGATCTTCTGAGTTCTTCTCTACCTGCCCCTCCTCCTTATTCTCAGTGTCTTCCACAGCAGGAAGAGGGCTGGCTGAAAAATTACAGTGAGATGCCCTTGCTACTTCTGGAGTTTCTCAAAATGGGAAAAAATGTATTCCTCTCTTTTTAGTATACAAATGGTCCTAGTATACAAATGGTCCTGGTCTCATAGTCCCAAAACACAGTCTATCAGATGAAGGTACAATACTTCACAAATACTGGCCGACTATGTGTAAACTCTTCCTTTCTATTTATAATTTTTGCTATATTACCCTGGCAATACTTTTCGTTTGTTAAAAATTAGAAAATATGAAGAATTTAGAAAAAAAAGAAAAATAATTCGTGACTCTATTAAAATACATAATTTACACTGGGGTGTATATCCTCCAAGTCTTTTCTGTGCTCATATAATATTTTCAGATATATTTATATGTCTTACTAAAGCATAATTAGCATATATAGTTTCCATTTTTGTCATAAAATTTATTACAAAAAAATTTAAGATATAAAAACAAAATATTTAAAATTAAATCACCCCAAACTGCTACTATAATTTTGTTAAGTATTTTGCTTTCTCTACGCAAAACAAAGTACTTTTTCTTTTTTATAGGAAGGTTGTTGTGCCATGAGAACCATTTGATAACCAGTTATTTTGATAATTCTGCAAAGCGTTCTCATTTCTCTCAAAGAGCCAAATTTCCCAGAACAGCCTACAAAATCCTCTTCTGTCTTCTTGGAACCCCTCAGGCCTGGTCTCCTACTACCTACCCTCACTCCGCCCTCTCTCTTACTTCCCTCCCAACCCCCCTCATCCCCACCCCCCACACTCCAAGCCTCCCTGACCTCCTTGTTCTTCCTTGAACATACTGGGCACAAACCCACTTTGCGGTCTTTGTACTGCCTCCTGGAAGGTTCTTCCCCCAGGTATCCTCCTGCCCCATCTCCCATCTCTTTTAATTCCTTGCTCAAATACTACTTTCTTAATAGATTCTTGCCTGAATATCCATTTAATTTGTATTCCTGCCCCAAGAGGTACTCCCAAATCCTCTTCACCCTTCTCTCTTTATACGTATTCATGTATATATTTTATAGCTCTTACCATCTATATTACCATTACATAACAGACTGTGTAATTTGTTTTATTATGCTTATTTTTCGTTGTCTGTCGTTATCTGTCTCTCCCCATTAGAATGTAAGCTCCACATAGAAAAGGATTTTAGTCTGATTTTTAGTCACTGAAACATCCCCAGTGCCTAGAACAGTGCTTGACATGCAGTAGTGCTCAATAAATGTCACGAATGCAAAGGAGGATAATGTTTCAGGAAGAGGATAGCTAACATCAAACGCCATTCATTCGGGGTTCAATAAGAATGAAACCAAGTGGATTTCTTTTGCTTTGGTGAATAGAATGCCTCAAGAGAGACAGCAGAACATTATGCTGAGTATTGCTGAGGAACAGTCAGAACGTATGAGTTCAAATCCTGGCTCTGTCGTTTTTCAGACATGTGCCTTCACTTCAGTTTCCTTGACTATAAAGTGAGGTTAACAAAGGTACCTACCTCAAAGTGTTATATGGACTAAGTAAGTATATTTATAAAAGTGCTAAAAACAATGAAATATAATATAATAATATAATAATATCATTGTGTGTGTGTGTGTATGAGAGAGAGAGAGAGAGAGGTAGCGGGCGGGGGGAGAGAGATTATCATTAGTGATCTTTAAGGAATAATTTGAGTAAAGATTTGAGAAATTAAAAAATTCTGAGTGAATAGAAACTGACCGTTCTTTCTTTTAAGCGTGTGTGTGTGTGTGCACGTGTATGTGTGCACACACATGCACAGTGTGGAGGGGGTTCAGGAGATCAGTTCCTTAGAACAGAGAACTAGTGAGAACTTAGCAGAAAAAGGAAGATCTTCAGTTTTCAAAATGCCGATGCCAGCACTGGCTAGCCACTATGATTTCCATTTCAGCTTTCTAAGATATCATCATTATTATTTTTTAAATAGGAAACAAGGGAAACAGAAGACTTAAATCTGTTAGGTGAATTAATTTAATTTTTAGCAAAAAGCAAGCACAAACTATTCTGTAAGAATTGTTCACAGATGACTTCCAACACGAACCTTAAGGAGTTAATTTTTACTAGAGTGAAGAGAATTAATTCTTTAACTCATAATTCAGATAGAATGCTCTGGTTCAAAGAGGCATGAGAGCTTAGGGGCACTGAAAAGATAAACTCTGATCAGAAAATATCTTCATTAAAAAGTATCTAGAAACAGATAAGACTCTGGTTTGTCTGATATATAATATTAGCACGATCTTTATTCTCTGGGGAATTTTTTGTTTTGCAACGTATTTCTTTTTTTTTTTTTTTCAGGCTGTTTGTCCTATGAAAATATATTTCCTTTCCAGTAAAATCTATCTGAATTAGTCTCTCCATCCAGCTGCAGCAGGCATCATTTTTCTTTCAATAATAAAAGAACTAGGATTCTAAGAAAATAAATGAGTATATCAAAATTGGATATCATTTAGAATAAGGATAAGAAGTCTCCTATTTTCAGAATGAATCATTGGGTTGCCAAAATATTCTAGACACATCACTCTGCAAGGTTATATTTTTAAGCTAGAAAGGCTGGGCGATGGCATTATTTTCAGGTTTTGGAACCCTAAATTATTCTTTGCTTCTCTTCTTCATAGGCCCGACCCTTTCCAGGGTAACTTGTCATTTAAAGATCAATAGAAGTAGAACATCTAGTTAGGAGAGCTCAAAGAAAATGACAAAAATGGTTAAAGCCAGGAAAATGTGACCTATGTAAAAGCTAAGAGAGTTGAGGTTATTTCAAATGTAGAGAAATAACATGTAAGGTATCTTCAACAAAACTATGCTAAGGATGCTTCAATCCTGGAATTCTGAACATGCCTGGATATTGTCTAGTAAGTACTAAGTTTGAAAATTATTTTTGCCTTGGACCTAATAGGGACAGGGTATATTTTTAAGGGCTTCACATTTATAATTGCACCCAATATAACTGACATATCAATTATGCAATATAACACTGAAAGAGAAAATAGGAAGTTAAATACAGGAATATCAAACTTTGAAAAATAATTTAGTGGTAAGAAACATCAAACAGAAAAACCTTCCAAGACTATCTTAATTGATCATTAGAAATGACTGGAGTTTTACTTCGCTTTAGCCTAGTTTCAGTCACAATTTAGGGAGAATTATCAGTGATATTCAAAACACCTGACAACCTTTGATACAATGTACCATGAAACCCTAAGGAACTTCACTCTCGATTGTAACTTGGCACCCAAACAGCCAATAAGGAAAAATATCACTAAGAGCACGATGAGTATTTTTAGAATCATCTAATGGCTGCATCTGATAAGTAATGGAAATTATTTACTCGGGAAGCACTCACCATATCATTTACATTTAGCTAAATGATGTGTAAAATTTAATATGTGCTAAAGAGGGCTCAGACTTATATTATTATGCATCCAATTCTATTTTCAATACAGAAAGTAAAGCTCCATGAAATATGAAAATTCATATTAGTTAACAATCTGAATGTGAAAAGCATTCAAGGTTCTGAAAGATAAACTACTTATTATTCATCTTCAACTTCTACAAAAAAGTAGAACAATCTCAATAACAAGTTTTATTAAGAAGATTAAGGCTTTTTATAATAGATGATAATTTCTTATCATGACTTGCTATCTTTTTATAATAATCACAGCTCCCAGGATGAAATAAACAGACTGCATACCAGACAAAGAAATTATGTATCCTACAGACGGTAAACTTCACATTTCTGGAGCTCTGCTGTGTTTTCCAATAGTTTATTCCTGTCATGCAGTGGCTATAAAAGAATTGTACATTTCCTGTGATAATGACTTGAAATCAAAATTCAGAAGGTAAATTAAGAGCCAAACCAAACTGGCTTGTCATTTTGGGCATCAGCTGGTTACAAGGAATGGTAATCTTTTACACTCATTTTCATAAGTGAAAAAAGGTTACATATCTTTAGTGGTATGATATTGGTTAAAAAACGGAAATCATTTTTAATAATCACTACCCCTAATGAAAAGTTACATATTGGTGATTCAAAGTTATAAACAGATTACATGCTGACACAGGGCTTCTCTGAAGCAAATCTTACCATTCTTAATGACCCTGCATCTCTTGGCACAACCACATTTTTCACTATTATTTGTGCTGTTTCATTTCCATCTTCCTCCCGACGCAGACCCCTTAATTACCTCCTTCTCAATTGCAATCCCTTCAGCCCCTCTCAGTTGGGATGATGGAGGCCCTTCTCATTCAGGCTCAGTTCTTCCTAGCCTGCTCTTGACAGAGATGGGAAGATGAGTCTTCACCGTCCCAGCTGATGGGCTCTAAAATAGCATGGTGATTTCAGATCTAGTGTCCTGCACCCTTGGGTGAGAGGTGCCTAGCAGCTTTCCTGGCTCCCCTTCCTGCCACTCTTGAGTCAGCTTATGGGGCTAGGTTCTGCCTAGTGCCCCTGTCCAGTA